GAACTGTACGGTGCACTTTGGTGCACGAGAACTGGTGTATGATAATCTGTATGCTTTGATTGTTACTTCGTACTCTCAGTGAGTGTTACTTGGTAATGTCTATGCATTTTGATGATTSTGTACCTGTATCCTCATGAATACATACTATCGAAGGCACATGTGAACCTGCCTGGAGACGTCGCTGGGCGTGAGTGAGCATGAAATTGTGTGATGATGTTTCGATTTGACGATTACTACTACGGGTTATAGATCTACGGAGTTGACTTTCAAGCAAGGCAGTAAGCTTTCAACATTGGAGTGGAGCGAGTTACTATTTGGTTCCAAGCGAAGTTGGAGATGGYGGATCGGCGATCCCGAGGATTCAGTAGGGAACGTTCAGGGGATGAACGTGGGCGCGAACACCACCGGGAGTCTAGCGAGCTAGGTCGCGATCGGACGCRGGGGTCCGAATATGAAGACTCGGGGTATCATCCGAGAGGAAGAAGTAGAGACGATTACCAGAGACCTTATCGGAGCGAAGGAAGCTCGGGGGCACGAGACTATCCTAGGCGAGCACCACCAACATGTTACGAATGCGGGGAAGTAGKGCACTACAKGAACCAGTGTCGGAAGTTYGCCGGCGAGGGAGCGTGAAAAGGCGGGAYGGGCCCGTTGGTGTTGGGAACATCGGGCTCAACGTTGGACGACACAACTAAGAAGCAGATCAAAGCACTGGGTCAAACGGTAGCTACGTTCAAGGAGCACTTGGAGCAGGAAAACAAGAAGAAAGAAGAGAAGCAACGAAGGCGCATGGAACGGGAGGAGAAGGCGAGAAGGGAAGAAGAAGAAAGCCGCCAAGAGGAGGAGAGGAAGCTGCAAGAAGAAGCGGAGGCCYGGAGGGTGGCGGAGGTTCAACGGGCTAAAGCAYTGAGGGCAGAGCAGAAGAGGGAGTTAARAAGACGTGAAGAGGAAGAACGAGCTGAATTTGCAAAATCACTGCGCATACMCGTGGCGATGTGTATGAGTGGCATGAGAGAGGAGATGCGTGATCAGTTCAAGCAAGGCATGGCGATGATGCAAGCATCTACGCATGGGAAAGGGGGACCGAGTTCACCAACCATATCCGAGGAATCTCTCTCTAGTGGGTGGGTTGATAGTGAGGTTGAAGAAATCAGCGACCGAACTGGGAAGCTCAAGATTTCGGAGAAGACGAAACGAAATCCGGAAGGGTCGCAGGAACGTACCCCACCTTCAGCAAAGAAGAAGTCTCCGAAGCGGC